AATATATAGTTGCTATGAGTTAGAACTGACTCGATGGCACTTAACAGTAACTAATGAGATTGCGCACTTTTTCCTGTGTTTCTTAGCCATTTGTATACCTTCTTTATCTTTTCAAATCCTTTGCCCATTTTTAAACTGGGTTGTTTGTCTTTTTGTTGTTGGGTTGTAGGAGTTCTTTATATTTTTCTGTATACTAGACAAGGAGCCCTGGATAGTCAGTGGTTCAGCTTAGCTGCTAACCCAAAGATTAGCAGTTCAAGCAACCAATGGCTCCATGAGAGAAAGACCTGGCAATACATTTTCTTAAAGAAAATTTGTAAGCACTACACTACCAGAGCTCTGGTAGCGTAGTGGTTACGAATCGGGCTGTGAGCCGCAAGGTCAGCAGTTTGAAACTACCAGCGGTTCTGCGGGAGAAAGATGAGTCGATCTACTCCCGTAAAGATTTACAGCCTCGGAAACCCTGTACAGGGTCGCTGTGAGTCGGAACCGACTCCACGGCACTTAACAACAACAACACATTACCAGAGCTCCTTATAATAAGCCCCCTGTAATCATCTTGTGTCCTTTGAGAAAATATATCAAGGTTACCCCTGTGGAATCTCCAAAACAATCACCAGAACCTTCTAACCTGGCCTGTCTGCCTTGCATTTAGCTGGCCTAACAGATCCCTTCAATAGCCACTATTTTGATTGAACTTTTTTTTTTTTTTTTAACATATCCTAACAAGACTAAGACAAGTGGATTACTGAGAGAACTAGTCTGCAGCCAACCACTGATCACAGAGACAAGTTTAAACACGTTTTGTTTGGAATAAACCCATGTGTGTATTAGCTGGAACCCTAGTAGCAATACTTTTTCACTTACTTTGTAATGTATTATATAATCTATGCTTCTTAACATCAGTGTATCAGAAGCTAAGTTTTTATCTATATTTGAACTTGCTTTAGACTTCCTATTCCGTCCCATCGATACACTCGCTATATACAGCATGCTAGCTTAATTGTCAAGGGTTTCATTTTACTTGGAGTCACAGTCAACACCCATGGAAGCAGTAGTCAAGAAATCAAAGGACATATTACATTGGGCAGAGCTGCAAAAGACCTCTTTAAAGTATTAAAAAACAAAGGTAATCCACTTTGAGGATTAAGGTGTACCTTACCCAAGTCATAATATTTTCAATCTCCTAATATGCATGAAGGAGTCCAGGTTTGGCACAGCAGGATACTGCACTGGACCACAAGGTCAGTTTGAACTGCAAAATTGGTGGTTCAAATCCAACAGCTGCTCCTTGGAACCCTTATACAGGGTTACTATGAGTTGGAACCAACTTGATGGCACTTCATAACATATGCATGTGGAATCCTGGTGTGGCACTGTTTGATACGCACTGGCTTGCTAACCTCAAGGTAAGGACAGCAGTTCAAACCCTCTAGGTGCTCCTCAGAAAGCCTACACAGGGTTCACTGTGAGTCAGAAGCAACTCGATGACACTTGATAACAAACATTTTAAGTATTGTAGCTTGTTTTTTTATTTTAATGGCTGGAATTCCAAACGTTTTGGAATCATTCTTCCACCCCCAGCCCATTTTTCTTGGTTATTCTTAATTAAGTGTTCATCCAGATGATCTCACAATCATTTTAGTTAAGTTTCAAAATCATATTCTACTGGAATTTAAATTGGAATTGTGTTGCATCTTATGGAGTGTTCTGGGAGACCTGCTCTCTTTGTAGAAGGTAGTGTCACGTTGTGTCATCTTATGATTGTTTTTATTGTTGTCATTCAGAGAGCCTCCACCCAAGCGCTGGTGTAACACCTGTCAAGTCTACTACATGGGAGACCTGATCCAACACCGCAGGACACAGGACCACAAGGTGGGGGCCTGTGTACTGTAAGGGACCACCAGCACATGTTAACTTCAAGCTGAGGGCTGGGGAAGGAGGGAGCCCAGGTTAAGAGTGGTAATAGAGACCTTTGACTCTGCATGGCCTTTACTCATTGTGTGGCTCCTGGATGAGTCAGTCATATTTCATCTTTAGGCTTGGTTCCCTATCTGTCCAATGGGGGCAAGGCACCATCTCATCCTGCCATTCAGCCATATGACTTGTAGGGGTCCTTTACACTGCTGCCCTCTCTGTCCCTGTCTTGTCACCTCACAGCAGCCATATAGGGAAAGGATATTTTTACCCACTCTCCAGTGCCAGGCAGAGTGCAGCTCAGCTTATTACAGATGTGGTGGGCCTGCAGATGAAAGGTGAAGTCTCTCGGCACTGCCAAGCTGGGATGCTGCCCACCACCCACTTAGCCTGCCCTCCTTTTCTCAGATTGCCAAACATTCCTTGCGACCATTCTGCACTATCTGCAGCCGCTATTTCAAGACCCCCCGCAAGTTTGTGGAGCATGTGAAGTCCCAGGGGCACAAGGACAAAGCCAAGGAGGTAACCTCAGCTCCCTCAGAGAACATGAACCCAGAGAGGCACAGAGCCTTAGCCAAGGCCACACAGCAAGTTGGCATTTATCTCAGTCCAAACTCATCTGGAGGGAAATGGGGCTTTTGGGGGCGTGAGGTGGCAAAGTGTGGCTGCTCAGAGATGACCTGGCGCATCATCCACTTCCTTGGGCAGCTGAAGATGCTCGAGAAGGAGACAGCTGGTCAAGATGAGGACCACTTCATCACTGTGGATGCTGTGGGCTGCTTTGAGGGTGATGAAGAAGAGGAGGAGGAAGAGGAGGAAGAAGAGGTTGAGGTTGAGGAAGAGTTCTGCAAGCAGGTGCTGGGGACAGAGGGTTGGAGGGGCAGGCTGGAAGTTGGACTCCCAGCCCAGAAAGGACCCAACCTTTCCATCCCTGAGGCACTAAAGCATGCCATAATGTATTCTTAATAGGAACTATATTTTTATAATTATATAAGTATACATTATGATCATTATGAGGTGGACAATTGAAATTTGCAAGGGCCTGGAAGGTATAGATTGGAAGGGCCCTCTGGAAGGCAGGATTGGCATGTGCAAAGGCTCAGAGAATTGTCCCCACACCTTCCTGGAAACCAAGGGTATGGGTGGGGTTGGAGAGCACAGGTGGGTTCCAGGTCTTCCCACCTGTTTGTGAAGAATCTGAGAGAAAGTCAGATCCAAGGTCCACACTTACATGCTTCCAGGTGAGGTCCAGAGATATATCCAGAGAGGAGTGGAAGGACTCGGAGACCTATACCCCCAACACCGCATATGGTAAGACTCCAGCCCTGACCCCACTGGCAGGACTCTCAGACGGTCCCAGGTCCTAGGTCCCAGCAGCAGCATGCTAGCCAGGTAGTCTGTCCCCATGCCCTTGTTTCCTGCTCCCACCTGGAGAGGGCAAGACACCTGGTTGGCCCCGAGGGATGTGAGTGTGTAGACCTGCCGTCCCACAGGTGTGGACTTCCTGGTACCTGTGATGGGGTACATCTGTCGTATCTGCCACAAGTTCTACCACAGCAACTCAGGGGCACAGCTCTCCCACTGCAAGTCCTTGACCCACTTTGAGAACCTTCAGGTGAGCTGGGCGTCCGTTCTCCACCCTGTCTTACCCGGGGGCTCAAGCTAATGAGGATGGCTAGTGTCTGCTTCCTTCCTATGTCCAAGCACCCACCAACAGGAGACCCCACCCATGAAGAAGTCAGAGCCAGTGCAGAGCTGGGCTCTTTCTGTTAGTGTTTCTGGGGCAAACTGAAGGTCAGGCTGTTAGCTCCAGAGACTGGGCTCCAAGAGGTGAAGTGTATCACACGAAGTCACACAGCACATCTGTGTTGTCTTGGCTGGGGTTGGGGGAAGCAGCTGCTGTCAGGAGCACACCAGGGTTGGGAGGAAGCCCTGACCTCACCATCACCCTTTGTGTCCAGAAATACAAGGCAGCCAAGAACCCCAGTCCTACCACCCGGCCTGTGAGCCGCCGATGCGCCATCAACGCACGCAACGCCTTGACTGCCCTGTTCACTTCTGGAGGCCGCTCACCCACTCAGCCCAGCACCCAGGACACAGCCAAAATCCCCAGCAAGGTGCCAGTCCAGTCCCCGCAGCCCCCACCACCCCGGCGCTCTACCCGCCTCAAAACCTGATAGAGGGAGTCCCAGCGCCCACCCAGTCTAGGTCCGGGAACGCTAGTGCTTTTTTAGGAGTCTGCTTGGAAACTCCGACATTGGTATTTTCACTTACAATGCAATAAACAATAAACGAAGGTAGTTGGCTGTACAATCCCCACAGCATTTCTGTCTGCGTGGATGCGGAAAGGGAGGCATCCCAGTCAATTCCCACCCAGGCACAATATGGGGGCAGAACCTGAGAACCAGGAACTCTAGGATCATAAAGCACCTCACCTCCCTGATCCTCAGTGTCCCTCTTAATAATTTATCAGGGCTAAGAAACTACTTTTAAGGAAGATCTTACTGAATTTTCACAATGACCGTAGGGAGGCCTTGTTAATATCTCTACAGATGAAGAAATTGAGGCCTAACAAGGTCAGGTGACTTGCCCAAGGTCACACAGCTGGTAAGTACCTAGGATTCAATCCAGGGCCTGAGCTCTGGACCCCTGTGCTGCTGGCTTCTCTGTCTAGCTGGACTCTGGAAGCTGAAGTACAAGAGGGGTCTGCTTAGACCCTCTGTGGTTCTGATTGTTGATCACTAGTTGATTGTGTGAGGGGTAACCCTGTGATGAATCTGAGCAGATAGAGCCCGGACTGGGCTGGCTTTCTAGTTCTCCATTTCCCCATTTGGTGGCACCATAGGATAAGTAATTGACCTCAAGGTTGGTTTGAACCACAAGGTCAGAAACCCTATACAGGGTCACTATAAGTTGGCACTTAACAATTTAGAGACAACCAGGCCAGACCTGTATTAGCCATCTGAGGAGACTGAGGTCAAGAGCAGAGGGCCATGCCCAAGGTTACACAGCCTGTCTTGGTGAAGGGTCCTGGTACGCAGAGAGGCTGAGTACAGCACACAGGGCTGCATAGCACACCTGATGCTGTGAGCTGGTCAGCAGACGTCAGGTGGAAGGAAGTCCTTGCCCCGTCTGCATCGTGTCCAGAATGGACGATGGTCAGAACTCCAGCCTCACCTCTTAGCTGTGAGCTGCCAGTACATAATCCTTGCCCAAAATGCCTTTACTGACCTGTTCACCTCCACAGGCCACTGGGGTCCTCATCCCAGGGTAAAGAGGAGAGAGGCACAGTTGTATTAGAGAGACCAGTTTAATGTGGACACTCGAGGCCTAGATGGAGTGGGGAATGCTCAGGAGTTAGACAAACAGGCAATAATCTGAATGGGTTGCAAGCCCATAATATGGCTTCCAGAGGGGATGCCAGGCAGTTGGGGCCAGCTAAGGCAGGCCAAGGGGAGTGCCAAGGGGGTGGTCCAGACAGGCAGACCCACCAGGCCAGCCCTTGAGAAGATACCTAAGTGGTGAGTGTCTGGGCAAGAGCCTGGCACAGGGATGCAGGGTCTGGGCTTGGTTGGGCTCCCTCAGAGCCTAGTGGGTAGCATCACTAGAGGCCTCTCCAAGCTGCTGCTGGAACTCAAGGCGTGTTTGCCTGTTGGACTCAAGCAGCTCCTGGAGGCGGGCGTGGAGGTGGTCGTTCTTTTCCTCCAGGTGGTCCAGACAAGAGTTGATTTGGTCCAACATGGAGTTGATGGCGGCGTATTCTGGGAGGAAGGGGAAGACACAACCCAAGTCTCGTGCTTCTTTAGGACTCACAGACAGCCACCCTCCCACCCTTACTTCTCCCCACCCCCCACTGTCCCCAGCCTGCCTCCCTTCAAGGCTGGGAGAGAGCATCCAAAGGACCTTGGGCAAGTCCCTTCTTGAGCCTCAGTCTCATCATCTGGAAAAGGGATAGATACTGAAAGGGGAAGGACTTTGCACCAGCCATTTTTCCAGGGTGAGGGTGGTCAGCCAGACAGCAGCTTATGTGGGACATCATGCTAGGTGCTAAGTCTTCTCTCAGCTCTTCTCAGCAGCTGCATAGAGAGCGCCCAGAGCCCATTCTTCTGAGTTGGGCATTCAAGGTATCTATGCCCAGGTCCTGCCTTACCTCCTCTGCTCCCTAGGCAGGTCCTATTCTCCAGCTGTGGCCCCTTCTACCCTCAGGATAAAGCCCAAAGCGCCCACCCACTCCTTCAAGGCCCTACATCAGCACCCAGCCCCTGCTCCCTTCTCTAGCACCACCTCCCATGCCTTTTCCTTTCCTTCCTCACACCTGCCTCTGCCTACCTCAGGCCTGTTGAACATGCTGTTGCCTCTGCCTAGAATGCACTGCATCCTCCTTCCTCTCCTGGATGAGTCCCACTTATCCTTCAAGTCTCAGCATGGATGGTAGCACCGGGAGCCCTCCTCATCAGGCCTCTATTCCTGAGCCCACTACTCTCTTCACCTCCACAGCTCTCGTCTCAGGATTTACTGCTGTGGTTATTTGTGTGTGGCTCTTGTCTTGTTCACTACTGCTCCCCCAGTCATTTTGTTGGATGAAAGAAAGAATGAATGAATGAATGAACCTTTTGATTTTCTAGCCTCCTTGCTCAACTATCCCTGCACCTAGAATGATGTCTCAACTACAACAACCTTTCAAGGACCAATTCAAAATACCTCTTCCTCCAAGAAGTCTTCCTTGGCCCTCTTCCTCCATGGCCACTCCTGACCTATTACCACAGCAACACAATGTACCTGGGGACTAAGGTCTGGGCCTGTGCCCAATGCAGAACCCAGTTCAGAGCCAACCCATGACTCAGGTCCCTCTGGGTCAGACACATTCAGCTGCTAGCTCAGGACCAAAGGGGAAGTAGCTGGTAGTGGTTTGGGAAAGGCCGAGGCCAGATGAGCATGACTGGGGTGTGGGTGCAAATGTGTCTGCATTTAGGGGGAAGGGTATTCATAACCCTATGGATAGCACAACTCACGAATAGGAGAGTCCTGACATCCCAGCTGGATGGTACAGATGGGGAAACAGGCCCATAAAAGAAGGGTCCTCCAGTGGGTCAGTGGCAGGGCCAAGACTCAAGACTTGGGGGACAGGAAGACCTGGGTTTGATTTCAAGCTCTGCTACATCCCAGTAAATTACTGCATCTCTTTGGAAAGGGGAATTAAAACTGAGTAGTTGTAAGGATAGAAACATATCAAGAATTCAGATAGTGTCTGAGCACAGGAAGTACTTTCTAGATGGTCAACAGTGGAATATTTTGCATTCTGAATCATGGGACACAGGCAGAGGGGACTGGAAGGCAGGTGTCCACATATCACTTCTGGGCCAGATGCCATCTGATCAAAGGCGCTCTTCAGTTCCAAGCCTTCGCCTTCTGCCTGGGACATCCTCTTCCCCACTGTCCGAAATCCTATGAATCTGCCAATATCCCTCAGTGTGACCTTCCTTCCAGATGCCCCCACCATGGCTACAGCACTGCCAGCAGCCATAACACCCATCTGGCTACTGGTCACTAGCATTTCCCACAAAGATCTAAAGCCCACCACTCAGCTCCCTGAGGAGAGGGCTTCTAAAAGCAGATCCTGGGCGATGAAAATGTTCAAAAAATTGTGCTGATGGCTTCCCAACTCTGCATATACTAAAAACTACTGGATTGTACACTTTAAATGGGTATATTGTATGGTATGTGAATGATATCTCAATAAAGCTGTCCAAAAAGAAAAAAAATCCCATACTTATCCCACAATTTTTTTCCTCTAAGTTAATAAATCAATCTTTATTACACTAAAGAGAATAGTAATGACCATTTACTGAACATTTATATGCTTGAAAGCCATATTTTCCATTCATTTTCTCAATGGAGCCATTAGTCATTATTCTTAATTTACAGATGGGGAAACAGAGGCTCTAGAGAGTGGAACGCAAGCCACTGGTCTCTCAACACTACTCCTTCGCCCCGCTGCTCAGCACTCAACAGGCGGCTTTGTAAACAGGTCACATTCTGCAAGGCCTTGAGACCACACCAGCTATGCCAGGAGCCAGGAGGTGCTGACTCAGCAGAGAAGGGTACGCCCACTCGATCAGCGCCTCCTGCTAATCCAAGCCGGTCCAGCACCCCTCAGGTGCCTTGGACTTCCGAGGGGCTGAAGGAAGTGGCTTCAGTAAATCTCAAATGGCTGAGTGTCCCTGAGCTACCTCAGTTTCTCTACCTGTAAAATGAGACTGGGAGTCCACAGTTCTCCCATGCTTTGATTCCCAGGGATCCGCCCGCAGGAGATCCCCCTGCAACCCCGAAACGACGCCTGCAACTCGGGACCCACCCAGGAACAAGGGAGAGAAGGGCTCTTCGGTCCCTTCCAAACCCTAAACCCGGCTCCAATCTCCCTTCCCAGGAGAGCATCCCTGGAAAGGCAAAGGTCGTTTCAGAGGCTCTCCCTTGATCACCTGCTTCCCCGAAGCCGTCGTCCTCTCCTTCCGCACCCGCCTCCACCGGCATGCCCAGATCCCCGTTGGGGCCCGACATTACGGGCTCGGGCGCCGCAAGAGCAGCACGACGATGGAACACCGGGACCGTAACGCTGAAAGCTGGCGCCGGGCGGAACGCGACAGCGGTGGACTGAACGCCAGGCCGGAAGGGTGGAACGGAAGGGTGGGGGGAGCGGGACGCAGCCGGGAGACTCGAGTCCCGTCCCCACGGCCCGCCCCCTGCGGTCCCAGCTCCGCGCGGGCCCAGCGCCACCTCCAGACACTGCCTCCGCTCTCCAAGGTCTGTCCCCGTCCCGCTGTCAGATTCAGCCCGGACCCCGCCCCTGCGCTGCCTCACAGAGCTCCACCCACGTCCCACCTCTGCCCCCGGAGCCTCGCCCTTCTCCAGGTCCCCACCGATACACGTAAGAGCAGGTCTTCCGGCCTGACAGAGGGACTAGAAAGACCACCGCTTTGCCCTTCCTACCGCTAGAGTCCTCCATGGGTGAAATCTGAGACAAGTAGTTTACACGGCTCCCTATGATTTAAGGAACATTTCGTTTAGCAACCCCACTCCTAGGCGCACACACTTGCCCCTCGCATCCCCTTGACCTGGGCCTGCAAACCCTTCCGTTGGTCTCCCACGGTGTAATGGCTGTCCTGTCCCTAATGGCCAACCCCTGTGAGTGGTAATTCGGTCAGGATTCCAGTCCTGAACAGGTAAGTAGGAGAGAATTTGTTTTAGGGAGAGAGCCTCCCCTGGGCTTGGGGTAGGGACAAAGGGTGAAGCTCCCTTTAAAGTGTATTATCTACTCTTCTTAAATCCCACCCAGGACTGTGTCTCATGTTCACAATAAAGTAAATAGTTTGCTGACTTTATCAACAAAGTGAAGAGATAATCTCCTAAAGATTGGGGAAAAAATTGTAGGGAAGCAGTCCTGGTGTGGCGCTGTGGGATAAAGCACCGAACTCCACGATCAGTTTGAAGCACAAGGTTGGCGGCTCAAGCTCACCAACTGCTTGATGGAAACCCTATTCAGGGTTGCTATGAGTCAGAACCAACTGGACAGCACTTAACAACAACAATATATATTTGATAGGATCCCTGAAGCCCTAGTGGCCAAAAAGTGAAATTACCCTAAATGCTGGCCCTGATAGAGGGGGGGAGGGTAGTGTGTCTTGGCTCAGCCCTGCCTCAGGGGCTGCTGGTCACTTTTCATCTATGGTTGTTGTTGTTAAGTGCTGTTGAGTCAGTTCTGACTTATAGCAACCCTGTATAGAGTGTTTGAGGAATGTCTGGGGAGTTTGAACCTTGAGGATCAAACCGACCTTACAGTTCAAAGGGACCCTACAGTGCCACACCAGGACTCTCATCTAGGGTTGGGACCCTCTTATCCTGTATCTCAGGAGCCCTACCATCATTCCCTCTCTAAACTTGTGTGCTGACCTGAATAATGGCCCCAAAGATGATGTTGATAAATGCCATTGAGTTGGTTCTGACTCATAGAGGCCCTGTATAGGGTTTCCAAAGACCGGCTGGTGGGCTCCAGGGCTCTTATAAAATATATGGTTCCCCCTGTATCTTACCCTGTGTTCATTCCCTCTCTGAGACTGTGTGCTGCCCTGAAAAATGGCCAAAGGATGCTGCTTTAGAAGCTGGAAAAGATGAGGAAACTGATTCTCTCCTAAATCTTCCGAACAGGATGTAGCCCTGCTTACACCTTGATTTTTTTTAGCTAAATTAAACTAATCTCAGACCTCTGACCTTCAAAACTGTAAGAAAACAAATGTGTGTCTTTTTAATCAAACGAGACTGTGGTAATTTGGTACTACAGACATAGCAAATGTTGACTCAGGCAGAAACCCAATGCCCCATTTGTGCCATAAGAGCTTGTTTCTTAAAGGCCCAGGTGGTGACAGGGAGCTTGAGGTAAAGAAACTGGGTATGCAGCCTGTAGTGTGGCTGGGTGCCAAAGTGCTGGACTCAGCCTCCTCCCTTTGTCCAGTCTTGGAGCTCTGGCCAGTGAGCCACTGGACTGCCTTCTCAGTCTGGGGCTTTTGTGGGCTTGGGTGTGCGTCCCTCTCTCTTGTTCTCAGCCTGAGTTGCACCAAGCAGTTCTCCCCAGAATCTGGCCCTGATTTCCAAGGTTGCTGCACCTTTCTGTGGGACTGAGTCTCAGGCCTGGCCTGGTATCTGGAGAACTAACACTGGGACTGCTCACAGCTCTAGCATCTCTCCTGACCCCAGAGAGGTGTGCTTGTCTGTGGAGTAGGTAGCCTAGTTCAAGGTCCCAGCCCTCTGCCCTTGGGAGAGAAGAAGAGGTCGGAGAGGAGTTCTGGTTTCATGGTGCCGACATAGAGGGGCTGCAGCTATGGTCAGTGAGTGGCCAGGGGTTTGCCCATTCCCCAGAACACAGGTCCAGTCAAGTGGGGGCATAAACTCTTGCTCCCAAGGTCAGGAGTTTGGGAATGTTTTGCCTGGAAACTGGCAGCATTGCCCCACCACACACATACCTTACTCTCCCCCTCCCCATCCTTAGCTTCAGAATGCCCTCAGGGTGATTTGGAAGTGATCACAGGGGGTCATGGGGTCAGAGACAAAACGGATTGATCACTGCCACCCACCAAATGGGGGTAGGAAGGTGGGCACTGGGCCCACAGGGCCTGGCAGGGAAGCAGGGAACCATACCCCTGCTTGATCTCTTAGCCTGGCATGACCTCCTACCCAGACTGCCATGCCCCGGCACCCACAGGGATTCTGGCATAATGGGGGCAGCTACACCTCAGTCACCTTAGGGTCCCTCCAGCTCTTAGCCCTGGCTGGGCCCCTACTGTTCGGGCATGTTGCAGGTGTCTTGAATGTGGTTATGAGGAGTGGCCTCATCTAACTTCTTGTTTGGACTGAGTACTCCTTGTAGGCAGGGACAAGTGAGGGCTACCCAGGATTGGTAGCTAACATGGAAATGTCCAATCAAAGAAGGAGCGAGTGAGGTTTTTCTGCATGGAAGGACTCTGAGACAGTCAGCTGTAAGGGGGCTAAAGCCCCTTGAATCTTCTTCCCTTTGCCCCTTTGCTCTTCAGCTGTAACATCTGGATGGGTTCTGTGGCTTCCATCCCTTGCCTGGTGACCAGGGGCTCTGGGAATGTTCCTCCCCCCCATGGCCTAGACATCAAGGAGCACAGACTCAGGTGATGTGTGTTTATTTAGCAGGCAATGTGAGCTGAATCAGGAGGGCAGCCTAGGGGAGCAGGCTGGATGGGCCATGCTCAGCAGAGGCTTTCCTGTCGGGCTGGTGGCTGGGGGCACTCTGAGAGGTTGGCCTCTCTCCAGGGCAGCCATACTCACAGTATAATCATGCATCATCAATGCACCGGTCTGTGGAGGAGACAGTCTGTCAGAAGGGGTGTGTGTGTGTGTGAACCTTAACTGCCAAGACCCCTTGCATTGCCCCCGGCCTCCGAGTGGCCCTGTAGATTTGGGGGATTCCTTCAGGGATGGGGTCACAGAGGGACTGATGATGGTGGGTAGGAACAGGGAGAGGAAGGAGAATGTAGGAGAAAGGCCTGGGACAAGACTGACCTGGAGACACCCAGGATGCAAGGGAGACTCAGCCTCACCTCTACTTAGGAACCAGGCCTCCTGCCGTTTACTGAGCTAAGCCCTGGCAGACTGTCAGCCTGGAAGCTGGGAGATTTCTGTGTAGGCTGACAGGAACTCTCTACCCAAGCCTGCCATCTGACAACAAGCGCTTCCAAGTCAGTGGTGAGCAAGCCCAAGGGTGAAGGAAGTTGGTTCAGGACAGCAGGACCCAGGATAAGGGGAGAGGTAGCTCAGGGCACTGAGAGCCGAACCAGAAGAAACTCCCGTCTGGGCAGGCCCCAACTAACCTGTCAAGGGGGAGCATTTGGTACCCCAGTCCCCGGGGGGCCCCACAGGCCCAGGGAAAGGCAGAGTCTTCCTGAACTCAAAGTGGCTTCTATGGGGCTCCTGGGCCATCTGTCCTTCAAACCCCAGTGGCTGAAGGTGAACACTGAGTCCCTTCCCCACCCCTTTCTCTGGGTGGCAGCACAGGCCTGGACAGTCCTCATGTCCCCTTCTGCTTCTCCCGACTGGCCATTACCAATTGGAACAGGGTAGATGATGTGGTCATCTGTGAGGCCCAGAGACTTGGCAAAGCGAATGAAGTTCTCCTTCAGCTCAGGGGTCAGTTCCTTGGTTCTCCCTGTGGCCAAGACAGCCAGCATGGCCGACAAACACTCCATAAATATTGTTGAATGACTGAAGGAGACCTCAGACCCCTTCCTCCTAGAGGGCCCAAGGAAAGCTGTCTCTCCCTGATCTCCCAGGAGTTCAGAGCAGAGCCAGATGGGACTTTGGGGTCTGGGTGGGGATGGGCCTCTCCTGTCCCAAAATGTTGCCAGGAGCTGGGTCCCTGAGGAGCAGGAGTGAGGACTCACCATAGAGGGTGGTCTTGAAGTACTCTTGATTGTTGAAAACCTTCTTGAAGAACACTATGGCATACTGGTTGTAGTTGGTGGCTGCCACACGCACTGTGTAACTCTGCACACCTTGGAAATCTGTGGGTGGGCAGTGAGGGGTAAGCCCTGCCCTGGGAGTAAAGGGGGCTGCTCCTCATATAACATCATCTGTGTAGAGGGGCAGGAAGCATTCAGAAGGAGACAAGCCCCCAGGCCTCTGCCTTAATTAGAACTCACTCTTAATGCTGCCCAAGTTGAACTGGCCTGGCTGGAAACTTGGGACAAAAGTTCTGATCCAGTGGAAACATTTCTTATTCCTGTGGGAGTGAGAGATGGGGACTGAGAGAGGAGACCACATAGACTTGGGGCCCCTTGGCTGGACTAGATAGGGAAGAGCTGCAACTGGAGGGGCCAAGATTCTGATGTGCCCAGCCCAACACATGAAAAAGGCCCATTTTCCTTCTACAGCATGAAGCCCCACCCCACCCAACTTAGATGAGCCCAAGTCTTCCTCCTGTGAGCCTGTCCCTGCCTGGCCTGCTGCCCCAGGCCTCCTGACTCTGCTCTACACCTGCTATTCATTTCTCCTCAGGGCTGCCTCTCCTGGGTGGCTTTCCCTGCCTCCTCCTACCTCTAGCACTCACTCACCCACTCCTCTTCTCTTGCTGCTCCCCTCTCTATAATCTCTCCAGCAATTTACCCTCTGAAATCCACACATTGGTTGAATGAATGAATTCAGTAAGGAGCAATGGGATGAATAACTGTATCCCTCAGCTTGGGTCACCCCTTGGCTGTGGTATTAGTTTGTTTATCCAACCCCTGGGGTTGCCTCTCAGGTACTGCATGGTCCACCCGGGGGGAGGTGGTTCTCACACAAGCCGGGTGGAGGTGACGTTGTAACTACCATCTTCTTTCAGCTCATAGGTAGTGGTGTACATCTTGAACTGGCCTTGTTCTTCTTTCGTAACAGCATTCCCCGCCAGGCCGAGGACATACCACTTCCCCTGGAACTGCAGAGGGAATTGATGATGGGCAGAACGCAAGTGCAGCCCCAAGAGCCCTCCCTTCTTGCTGGCACCTCTGGGTTACCTGACCCAGAGGCACAGGGGTCTTCCATCAGGGGACCTGTGGGTAGGACTGGGCTAAAGTCTGGGCCCTAGGCTCCCTGAGTAGCACCCATCTTGCTTCGCACAAGAACTCTTCTCCCTGGGATTTCCCTGCAGGGCTCCTCCAGACCCCTTACCTGGTCATCCTGGAAGTCAGGTTGCAGAGGGACCTTGAGCAGAGGTGGGGCTGGGATAAGGTTAGGCCTCTGGGCCTGGGTCTGTGGGGCCCACAGCAGGGTGAGGCCCAGCCACAGGAGACTTAGGGACATGGTTTTAGGGTTGAGGAAGCTGGAGTTTCAGGCAGCTGCAGATGGTGAAGTAAGAGGAGGTGAGTGAGGAGGTTAGCCTGGGGCTTCTATTTATGGACCCACCTAGCAGTCAGCCCGCCTCAGGGTCAGGTGATACAGCCTTTGCCAAATTCAGGAAAGATGAGGCAATTACCAGCCACTCTTGTTGAAACTCTAAACAAGATTTCTACTCATTTCTCCTAGTCAAGATTGGGCAAGGTGAAGGGGCAAGATGTCCTGAGTGAAGGGACAGCCCCCAGAGCCCTGTACTTCTGGCAAAGATAAGGGCATCTCCACACATTCTCTGTGCCCCTTTCCTTCACTTTGAGTTTATCCACTGAGCTAGACAAGCTGTCATCTCTGACCTCCAAGTTTCCCTACTTGGATCTGAGCCCAGGGTGGGGAATGTGTGGCAAGGCCTCCTCCTCATTCCTGCTGAAAACAAAGAATACCTCAGCTCAGCAGACCATGTGCTATTTCCTGGTTCTTGTAAAGGACAGGGAAGGAAGGCACTGAGAGTGGACTCTCCTGATAGGGAAGGGCAGAATGTCTCTGCTACTTTGAATTAGCTGAATCCTAGCCCTCCAAGGAGCCCCACACTAGACCCTAGCCCAGGGTGAGGTGCCAGAGAGACTGACCTGGGAATGTGCCCTAACTTGGGAGTGCTCGCCACCTTGAATCAGCACATCCCTTTCTCCATCCTTTATTTGCAGCACCCTAGACAGTCAAACCCTATACAGGGTCGCTATGGGTCAGAATCGACTCAACGACACTCAACAACAACACAATAAAGACAGTCATGGGGACCTGGACCCCCAGCTTCCTGAGGGGTCCAGTGGGCAGAGACTCCAAGTGGAGTATGTGGGCTGCAGATGTGGCTCTTAGCAAGCAAAACACTGAGATCTCAGTGTTTTGGTGAGGGGACAATAAATCATGCATCTGCCCTTGGTGAGGGCAAGCCTAACCATAGCCTAGTGGGCTGGGCCAGGTGGATGCTCCACCCTGCTGCTCTGGATACCACCTGCTTTGAGTCACAGGGAATGTGAGGAGTGATTATTGAGATACCTTCTCGCCATCTCCGGTCCAGGTCCACTGAAGACAAGCCTGGGCCCTGGGCGGAGATGCTCAACCGTCCTGGAGAGTAACAGTTTTCTCACTGGGGCCTGGCCAGTGTCCTTGGGAGGCAGTGACAGGTCTCAGCCTGAATGCCTACTGGCCTTTCTGACCTCAGCCTGAATTGAAGGTTTGCTCTCTTGGATGGGACTCACAGGACCTTATTGGATCTACCCAACAGCTGTTTAGGAATCAGCACCCCAAGCATAAGTCAGTGGGACCTTGAGCAAAGGGGCTTTGAAGGGTAGCCTGAGCTGGTAGGCAGGGAGCTAACACCCACCAATACACAGCAGCTCTCTCAGGCCAGTCCTGGCCTCCCCATGGAGGTGATGAAAGGACAGGAAGCAAAAGTGAGCAAGATGCCAGGGACGATGTTGCCATCAAAGCCTGCCCTGCCGCTTGCCACCCCTTACCTCCAACCTCACAGCCCCTGATGACTCCACCCCTGCTCAAAGATGCTACTTTCTTTGACCTTAAAAGGAGTCTTTGAGTCGGTGGTAACTGTGGATATGGGGCAGACTGGTGGATGGAGCTTCAAAAAGTTTTAAGTAGGGGAGAGGGAGTGCCCTGGGTCATCTAGGATACACTGGTCAGAGTATTCCAGACTCTGGAAGGCAGGGGGCAGAGTCACCCTAGGTGGGGTCTCAGGACATGAACTGGGGTGAGAGGGGAGGGGAAGAAGGGAGAACTAGGGCCAGGTGTAGAAGGAAGACAGCTGCCCAAGGACCCCCAGGCTAGGTTTGAACCTTGGTTCCTCTAGGTGGACAGAAGTCTCCCCCAGGAGGCACCCACACACATACTGTAAAGAGAACTGCTCTGTAGATTGGATGAAGCTATGCAGGGACAACAGCTGGGAATTTAGATGTCCCTACATGAGGTCCTCTTTGAGTTTCTTTTCACACCACTTAGTATCCATTCTTCTGTTTGAGCTGGCTCCAGGCTTGTTTCAGACCCACTGGCTTTGTCTCAAGGAGCCTTGGTGAGACAGTAGTTAAGCCCCTGACTGCTAACTGAAAGGTCAGTGGTTTGGACCCACCAGTCACTCCATAGCAGAAAAATGTGGCAGTCTGCTTCTGTAAACATTACAACCTTGGAAACCCTATGGGGGCAGCTCTATGCCATTTTACAGGGTCTCTGTGAGTTAGAATCAACTTGATGGCAATGCATTTGGAATTTTTGGTTTCGGTCTTATTTCTAGCTCTATGTCTATGTCTCTGCTGACACTGGGTGATCTTGGGTCACCTCGTTTTCCCTTCCTCATCTGGCACCTATCTGTGAGGAGATGGAGTGCAGAGTTCCAGCCAGACCTCTTGGGGGTCCAAGGACAGTCATGGCCATGGCTGGGGCAGAGACCAGGCCAAGTAGTAGAAGATTCTAGTCAACGGGTGTTCTGGGCTTAGCTGGCTGTGGCTGGAAGGGTAAGGGATCAGCTGGGGACATTTAACAGTATTCTGTTTGAGGAAGGCATGGGCTTCAGCAGACTCAGTGCACAACACACATACCCCCACCTCACACAAGCTATGTAACTCAGTACTCGGAGCTCTGGGTGAGAACTTTGTAGACCCTGGACTGCAGGACAGATAGGACACACTCCTCGGCACTCACTGCCCAAAGCCAGGGGAAACCCTCAAACCCTGGGATCTCCAAACAGTCTAACTTCAAGTGTGTCTGTGTGTGTGGTAGGACACCCACACTCATTAATCTCCCCTATAGGAGGCGCCCCCAGCTGGGTGGCAGTGAGACTGCACTCTCTCTGGGAAGCTGTAGCTTTTTGCAGTGAAACAACCCTAGGAGAAGCCAGGTCTGGACCTTCTAAGTCCTGCTTAGGGTTAGCAACCACAGGAGCTTAAAAACAGTCACATTTCTGTGGGAAGGAGCCAGAACAAAGACTCCTGCCTACTCTATCCCTTAAGGGTGTCTTGCCTCCACTCATCCATGTTGGTCCAGATCACCTTCATGGTCTCTGTGGGTGGCTCTCCTCCCCTCCCCACACTCAAGAGGAAAACATATAGAAAAATGGCAGTGGCTTGCTTGTCCTCCCAGAGGGGTCTGTGCCCACTTCTGCTCGAATTCACCTGTGAGGCCATCAAGACACTGCCTGGTGATGCTTACATCTTTGTAATCTAATTTGAGCTCCTATTGGTCTGGCTTCCAGAAGCCCTTGAACAGTATCCAGCCTGGCCATGATGGCTGGGGCTAAAACAGTCCCTTCTCAGCTGTTTGAAAGACTGAGCAGGAGGTCTCCGGGCAGTAAAGGACTAGGTAGGCTTGTTGATGATTCTTTGTATACTAAAGGGCCAAGCCAGGAACCCCCTCCCACAAAGACCTGGAGTGGAAGGGCTATTTACTTTAGGGCCTTGGATTGAGTCTCTATTTCCAGACGTAGCTTTCCAACTTCCATGTCCCCATCTCCCATGCCGTAGCTCACCTGGGGAGTCTCTAGGCTTTCCTGGTTCCTGCCTCTTCCACTTGACAGGGACCCTAGCTGGGTATGTGGACAAGGCTGGGACATGTCAAGAAAAGTCTAAAGGCAAAGGAGTGTGGCTGGACCTTGGAGTGGATAGTTTATCCTGGCGGGGTTGCAGCTTCCCCAAGGGTGGGCAAGGGTGAATGCATCTTTGTGACCTTAGGGATGAGGAAAGCTTGAGTCCATCTGAAAATAATCCTAGGTGAACAGCAGATTGGACACTCTGAAGGGCTCTCCAGTGCCAGACAACCAGATCGTCCATGAAACAGACTCTTGCCCTGCCGGAATCGTTTACAGTTTTAAATGTCTATTTTAGAGTAAGAAAGGCTATATGTTCATAAGAAAATTATCCACAGTTAAGAATTTAGAAAAGAAATCATAGAAAATAGTAGGATGGTATGTGTCACAACCGAGGAACCAATATTGATATATTATTGTTTAAAACCCATACTTTCCTAGAGCAGCATCATGGAATCGGCTTAAAGTGATAGCGATGGAAGCTTACTGAGGGGTAAGACGGGCTGGACTGGAAAGACATCCACACTCACAAAATGAAGATGGCTATTCTGCTGGACAATGAGAAAGAACGCATTTTTGTATAGTTGGAGCAGGAACTAAAAGTTACAAAGTCATAATCTGAAAGACAATCAAGGGAGTCGAAGGTGGGATATCTAAAATCAGGAATTTAGCAGAGACAGGTGGATAACATGTATGTGAGATCACATGGCTGATTAAGGGTACATGGATTACAAGTGTATGAGCTTTTCAGTTTAGTACAGGATGGCCACGGAACAATAGCAGGACAAGTTTTTCAGGTAACCTTCAATAACCTCACATGCATGGGAAAACTGGATAGTGAATGAGGAAGACTGTAGAAGAATTGATGCTTTTGCATTATGGTATTGGAGGAGAATATTGAAAGTGCCATGGGCTGCCAAAAGAACCAACAGATCTGTGTTGGAAGAAGTGCAGCCAGAGTGCTCCTTGGAGGCCAGGATGGCCAAACTTTGTCTCTCATACTTCAGACATAATTGTCAGGACGGACCAGTCGCTGGAGAAGGATATCATGTTTGGTAAGGTGGAGGGTCAGAGAAAAAGAGGAAGACCCTCAGAGAGATGGATTGGCAAAGTGGCAGCATCAGTGTGCTCATGTGTGACAACAATTGTGAGGTTGGCCCAGGACTGGGCAGTGTTCCGTTCTGTTGTGCATAGGATCACTATGAATCGGTACTGACTCGATGGTACCTAACAACAACTATAAAAATTGCTTTCTCCATCCTGTCTGTTTCTAGGGATCCATTGTAAAGCTTTATCAATAATGCTGTGCATCAAGATCCTTTGAGTTAACGTGGTTATATATTGCTTCTGTTTTAACAGACTGGAATGACACATGGAATAGGTG